AATAGATAATGTTTCAAAAAAAATTTTTTAGGGGCGCTGCCCTCGAACCCCCGTGAACCCCCACCCCTTCAACTCTCGGACCCCCCTACTTTGATGGGCTGGCTCCGCCCCTGGCTACGTCGGATTGCAATTGTCTTGACTAGACGTGTAAATTTTTTTCGTGGCTCAGCACATGTATTGCGAGCTTCAGAAGCAAACTCCTTAAAAGCTGGGCCATCCCACAACATGGCTCTAAGATGTATGCTAGTGGAATTCAGTTTTGCCTAAACGAAACTGTAATCTTTTCGTAGGAATAAACAGACAAGATTGATACTTTTGTGGATGGAAATAAATCTCAAAAGGTAATTCCATTGCTGTCTCAACCACACACTATTGAACCAAATCTGTTTCCTTCTCATTTCTGTAATATGCCCGTCTTATCCTTATATTTTCCGAAAAACACAACTAGGTTTCCACTCTGATATAATTCAATACATTTGTTTTAACCCCTTGTGAAAATGATGTCTATTATGGGAATTTTGCTTTGGAGATAATGGCTTGTAATCAGAGGCTGGTAATTATTATCAGATCATTACAGAACCGAGACCGGAGACTCGGTTGTTTCGGAATTCAATGGGGCATGGTAGTTATTTAGTACTTGATCACGTGTACCAATGAACTAAACAGGATGGCGAGAACAGATTCACGCTGTCGAAGGACTTAGTTTGATGAACACATGAATTTGGCTTACCCTTTAAATAATTGTCATGATGGATCTTAACCAGGAGCAGTTTACAACATCCACTGATACAATTATGGCCAACAAGAAAAAGGAGCTTCTTTCCATTGCCATGAAGAGGACTAACGAATGGTTTGCTCTCTTTCTCGTCTATTTATTATTTTACCGGGTGCTTATAAGTAATTATGAAAGAATTCGGTTTCAATACTTGCGCTGAATTCTTTTTCAGTGAAAAATTGGAAGAAATTGAGTTTTATTTTCAATATTTAACAGGATCTTTTCCCAAGAAATCCCGAGTGATGTAACTGTTAATGCTGGAGGAACTTCCTTTTCTTTGCACAAGGTACAATATATCTATAATTGAAGCTGCATATCTATAGTATTTGAACAATTTGGTTTAGTACTTCTGGTGAAGTACTATTATTTTATTCCTTTTTGATAATCAACATGGTCTTTGTCGAGCTACCTCATAAAAAAGAAGTGTTTTTTGAAATCCCATACAGTTCCCCTTGATTTCAAAATGTGGATACTTAAGGAAGTTCGTGTTGGAATCCGATGATTCTGATCTTTCTGTCGTTGAAATCCCTGATATTCCTGGAGGGGCAGATGCATTTGAACTTGCAGCAAAATTTTGCTATGGAATAAATTTCGAAATTACTACAGACAACGTTGCCATGCTTAGATGTGTAGCAGAGTATCTTCAGATGACGGAGGATTATGCTGTTGAAAATTTAGTTGGCAGAACTGAGGCATATGTGAACGAAGTCGCGTTAAAAAGTCTTTCAGGGGCAGTGTCCGTTTTGCATTCTTCTGAAAACCTTCTTCCTATAGCCGAAGAAGTGAAATTGGTAAGCCGGTGTATAGACACAATAGCGTTTGTCGCCTGGAAGGATAGCGAATTTTGCACCCCGAGGAGGGCAGAGGGCGGCATAAATGATTTAATTTCATCAACTGCTCCCAACGCAAAGCCCCTTGTTGATTGGTGGGCTGAAGATTTAACAGTCCTTCGAATTGATTTCTTCCAAAGGGTTCTAATTGCAATGACTGTAAGGGGATACAAACAATATGCTCTTGGTCCATCATTAATGCTTTATGCACAGAAATCTCTTCGTGGCTTGGTGAGATCTCACCCATAAATTTGGATTATCAACTGCATGAGGTTCATAAATAACTTATTTTTCATTCCATTACAGGAAATATTTGGAAAGGGTAGGAAAAAAATCGAGCCAAGACAAGAACACGAGAAGAGGGTTGTTTTAGAAACAATAGTTAGTCTTCTGCCACAAGAGAAGAACTCGATGTCAGTTAGCTTTCTCTCCATGCTTCTTCGAGCTGCAATATATCTAGAAACGACTGTTGCGTGCAGGCTTGACTTGGAGAAGAGGATGGCTTCGCAACTTGGACAGGCCGTGTTAGATGATCTATTAATTCCTTCTTATTCCTTCACAGGGGAAACATTGTTTGATGTTGAAACTGTGCAACGAATCATGATGAATTACATTGAGTATGAAATGGAGGGTACTAAATTTGGCTGTGATGCAGATGAAGAGTATATTTCCCCTTCACCAACTGGCAAGGAGCGAGTGACGAGGTTAATGGAGAATTACCTTGTTGAAATATCTTCTGATCGCAATTTATCTGTTTCAAAGTTCATCGATCTAGCAGAACTTATCCCCGAACAGTTTAGAATAACAGAAGATGGAATGTATAGGGCCATTGATATCTTCTTGAAGGTTTGTGAATTCCTTATCTATATTCTGATCAGTTACGTCACTTAAATCTTGATCCTCTTCCTAAACCATATAATATGCGTGTGCGTGTAGCTTATTTTTCAATTTTATATTCTCTCTTGTAAATAGGTTAATGGCTTAATCCAGATTATGGCAAGACAACACTTTTTCATGTTTTCTATAGGCTCATCCTGCATTGAGTGACATGGAGAGAAAGAAAGTTTGCAGCGTGATGGACTGTCAAAAGCTCTCCCGGGAAGCCTGTGCCCACGCTGCACAGAACGACAGACTCCCTGTCCAAACCGTTGTTCAGGTGCTTTACTACGAACAACAGCGCATACGGGAAGTTATGGATAGCAGTCTCAGTGATTCCCCTGCACTTCCGGACAAAGTGAATCAGAACACCATTGACATCCATCCAGTATCGGACGAGCTCTCAAATCTACGCAGAGAAAACCAGGACCTGAAACTAGAGTTGGTGAAAATGAAAATGAGATTGAAAGAACTGGAGAAATCTGCTGATAAATCAGCCGTTAATAGTCCCTTAGGAATCACTCATCAATCATCTGGAAAACCTCCTTTGCCTCGAAAATCATTGATGAGCTCTGTTTCGAAGACACTTGGCAAGATTCTTCGAGCTGATGCCATTATGCCGCAGAACAACAAAGGTCGAAATAAACCAAGCAAAAATTGGAGGCACTCTATATCATGATAAATGGGATTATATTCCATTTCAATTGAGTGCTCAAATGAAAAAATACGAGTATATGACACCTTCATTGTGTAGTGGGCTTAGGAAGAGGACTTCGATTCTGTCTTTCTTTTTCTCTCTGTATACTTATTTTTCTTCCTGAGTGATATATATGTAAATCATTGTGTAAGTACATGTTGATTGAAATAAGGAAAAGCACTTCGAATATGATGATGATTGTGTCCGAGCAACAGCCGGGCTCAGCTAGTGCTCGCCTATCTGAAGTGTGGCTCACCTCGCTGCTCGTAAATTTCTCATTTTTAATTTTACTGAAAATGGTATATTTCACTCATTATAACAAGCTGGTTTGCACAAGCCGATGAGCTCGTGAGTGAGCTAGCTTGCGCGGCTTGGAGCCAACTCGTACGAGCCGACCAGCGGCTTGAACGAGATATTCGTTGCTCATTACCGCTCTGCCAGGGTGTCATCCCCTTCAGATGCGGCACTTTTTTCAGCTCACTTGAATCTGTAGGCGGGTTCATGATTTGATCTTCTGCAAAACTTATGAACCAAGTTTAATCAAAGGTTTTTTTTATACAAAAAATTACTCTTCAAAACGTATATCCAAGTGCAGGTGAGATCAATTTTTCATCAAAGACTTCAACATGTTTCCAGATTTTCTACACAAATAGCGACGTAACTTGAACTCACCATGTTTTCGTAATTCAATATTGCTGCAACAGTTGGAGCCTTTTTCCAGTGACTGATTTTTTAGATATAAAGCTAAAGGGAAGGCCAAAATATGCACATAAGGGACAGTCTACAAGCGGTCTCATGTCCATGTCAAAAGCATATAATCAAATAATGGAGTCTTTATTAATAGAAAAGCTCATGCTTCCACCTTGAAGACTAGGATTTAATCACACATGTACTCACTCTTGCCTTGGAGAGAGAGCTCGGAAAAAACTTCGTGATCTTTCTACTGACAGTAATGTAATTTACCCTTGAGGCTAGCACATGAGTCATGGACTCGTGACACCATGTCGAGAAAAAAAGAGATCTTTCTCGACCTATTCTTTTCCCTTCATTCTTCAGAATCAGAAGACTCAGAAGAAGAAAAATTCAGTCCAGAATCTGATGGCAGTAGTGTTTCACCAGCCTCTCTCCTTCCATTATAGCTTTTCAGGCCTAATGTCAGCTTCAAGTTAACTCTACACTTTCAACATACCAAGAAAATATGAAGCTGATGAGGACATGACTGTTAGAATGCACCTAATGTTTTGTAATATCTTTCTTATTTTTCCCACATTTAAACCTTCCTATATTTTATATGGAGGCATTATTCACTTTCCTATTGGAAAGACTTCGACTCCATTAAGAGGGTCATTAATCACTATCTTGGTTGGCGATGAAGACGTAGGCTCAAGAAAGATAGAAGTTGTACAGCATGTGGAGTCGGGATTTCAGTTCCTGCCATATCAGTACATTTTGTTAAACAAATCTGTCACCAGGTTTAAAATTATGTTTTACACACAGAAATCAAAGAAATTGTTTGGGGGTTTTGCAAGGAGACGCGAAAATGACATCACCTGACCCTCCCATAATTGGATCTTCACCGTATACAAGTGGGCTCTCTCTGTCGAGATGGACAAGTGTGTGCCTTATGTTTAGTACGTTATATTAGACAAGACGAAATTATATGAAAAATATAATTTATGTTGCTGTGTGTGTCCTATGAAGATGCGGTATTTAAATTGTTGAAATTGATAGATAAACGAAGATCAGGTTTTCTATTTAGCAAAAATTCGAGAGAAGTTTTGAGGGAGTGACCAAGTATAGAGGTCCAAAATTTGCCAAAGCAAGTCGACCATAAGGCATGCATTGGCCAAGGACGGATTGAGCAAGCAATGTCTTATCGAGCTTGAAGCCTCGAACACCCAATAAGACTCCAACTGATCGTGATTGTACAAATCTGTAGATTATTTGAAAGTACAACTGTTTTATACCAGCAATGAAACAGTTAACTAATAAATTGCTAAAAAAAGCAATTAATTTGTTGCCAAACATGCCTCACCTAAAACTTCACTTAACGCATAATAAAGTGCGACATCTTCGAGGTTAAAAGAATTTAACTTTAATATACATAGTCATTAATCAGGTAGATACAGCTTCTTTGAAAGGGAAAGGGCGGTTCTACAAATACCCGGGGAGGGTACCGGACTGTGGAGGACGTTTAACACATTCGAAGCCAGCTGCAGACACGGGCTTTCACTGTATCGACTCTGACTCTGTTGATATGGATAGATTTCTTTAAGGGATCCTTCTCACTTAACTTCAATTTCCACAAAATAAACCGAGTCATTGCGTAATGAGCAAGAATCATGTGTAAACTTGAAAAAAAATCATGAATCAGTGAAGTCCAAACTCACAAGGGTAAAAATCAAAGAAACTTTTTAGGAAAAAAAATGGATTCTATGGTATTGAATGAGAAATATAACAGTATACACTGTTTTATGCACTGTCTTTTTAAATGTAATCACCAAATCAATCTTTAACAGGGCAACCTACTCTAAAACCCTGCAAAGTAGCAAATGTAATTGTAATGTTGATTAGCACATAGAACTACATTCAGTACAAGCCATGACAGTTTGCAACAGTGGGGAATCAGTAGATACTGATCTAGGACAGATTGAGATCTGGAAGATCAGCCCAGAACTTAATGCCAACTTTTCGATGGCCATGACTAAGGGTGCAAATCTGGATCGGGCCACCCAAGCCCAAGGCGGCCAGGCATGGACCACGCTGAGCTTTTGGACATTGCAGACCGTTTTACACCTCTAAACAGCGATCAGGTTATTTTCACTGCCTCTCTCCATGGAAGAAGTAATATCAGGTCCTGACTCCATATCAGAACAAGGGAACATGGCAAGAACTCGAAAAGTGAGGTTCTTGAATATATTGTGCTATTTTATATGCCACGCTTGCACCCCTCTTAAAAGGACACTTGGCACAGATTCAAGAAGTTAGACTTTTCTCTCATCCACCTCAGTTTTTTCTGCCAATTCAAGCTTCTGGACTGGTGGATGAATTGTCCAAAATCATGTCACTCTCTATAGACAAAAAGAGGAGAGCAAAAACTGCAAAACCTCAATAATCCTACCAAAAGCAACCCCTATATGGTACGCTACAAGATTCATGTTAAACAAAATGTATAAGCAAAGCTAAATATGGCATCTTGATGCCAAATCTATTGATCTGCTAGTTACAGCAGCAACGTCTGGTTGTAGCCACGAGTAACGAGATTAATGTGGGTATGTACTGCAGGAAGTAGTTGAAGATTTACCTGTCAAGCGTACCCTGAGACAGACACACCTATCTTGAAACAATGTATGATCATAGGGAATTGTCATTAGTGACAGAGTTGATCTGACGGAACATACAATTTTCATGAAGTAGCCTGATTGTGAAAATGATTTTTTCCATTAGACACCCCCTGTGATATTCTCTTTGATAGAGTTCCAATAGCATTACTCAAAACTTGTAAAGCATTTGTAGACAGCTTACACCTGAAGTTGTATGAACTCGAGCCGGCACAAAGTTAAAAGAAATACACACCGATACTTGATTTTCAGAGAGGACATCCAGATGAGATAATTCTACAAACTAACAAACAGAATGCGAGTTAAATAGAAAATAAGAGGATATCATCCTGAATGAAATCATACTTAAGAAGCTCAACAAGAAAAAATAATATTTATTAACAAATAAAAGGCCAATGACATAACAAGATATTATATTATGAAAAGAAAGCTATCGGACTATATGTCATCACTACAATCTTACTAGTATCGATATCCTTTTACTTTATGAGGTAAGATGACCCACATTAGAAATAATCAGCTTTGTGATGTATATACAATCTAATCAACTTCCTCCAAAAAAATTCATAGCTTTAGACCACTTATCGATCGTATGAATTCCGTCAACAGCACCGTTAGAAGAGTTTCTAGTGTTACAATAACAAGTATCACGAACTATTCTGCCATGTAATAATCTGATGCACGAAAGGAAACATTCTCAAGTTGTACTGGCCAATCTTCTCCAAGTATCCGTGGATTCGACTCCATCGCAACTTGAAAATCCAGAATTGACACAGAAAATGATCTATTGGGCTTCTTTACATAAGTGGACCCCATCTTATTTTTAACAGACATATCTTGATGGTGAACTTTATCATCCAGCTGGTGTTCAGACCTTGAAGCAGATAAATCCAGGCAGGGTTTTATTAACCTCTTCAAAAACACATCCAGTCCATTGTTTAACAAGCCCGCACAATCGGTCGAGACATTCATACCCTCTGTCTTAAACTTCTGTTCCAACCTCTTCCTCAAAGAACTGGTATCAGGCAACTCCCCGGTTGAACAGCAGTTCTCGTAAGGTGGTGATTCATTAAGCAACACCTTCCTTGTACCTCCTGCATTAAGAGAGATACCAAGAGGAGCTCTAAGAGGGCTTCTACTATAAATTCCAGGGCTTCCTGCACACTGTTCCACCTCTTCACCATCTTCCACAGACGTAACCTCAACCGGAGGTCGGCTACCCAAAGATAGCAACTCAGTAGCACTCTGCTGCTCTTGAACCTTCCCAAGTGGCCCGAGTGGGCTCAGACTGTCCTTGAACTTGCGATCTCGAGAGCCCGGAGTTCTCCCCTTCCTAGGAGATTGAGGAAACGTGTCTCTACAGATCGATTGAAGACTACTTCTTTGATACCCATTCGGAACTTTAATATTTGGTGGAGCTTGGGCTTTGCGGCATTTAGGTGGAGGACTCTTGGCAACACTCGCATTCTTGAGAATTGCTTGAATAAGACCATTATGAAGAGAGATATTTTCTCTCCCCAACAACTCAATACATAGCTTATCAAATTCTCTTTTGCTGAGTCTGAGACTTAAAAACCTATTCAACAGATTAAAATATTTCTCCGACTTCTGCCGGCCAAGCTTCCTCTCAATCTGAAGTTTTAACTTTGAAGTATCTATTCGGAAACAATGCCGATCTACTGGCATTTCCGGTTCTGAATTCATAGCTACCATCAAAATCCAAGGTAATTGGGGAAAACAAGAAAACCCACAAACTCCAAAAACTAGATACTTCTTTTCTCGATCCCAAACCCTAATTCTTGTCCACTTCCATCAAAAAGTCAACATCGATGAGCACAGCTGCTGATACGAGACGGACAACTAAATTCTGAAAAAATAGCAAAAACCCATGTACAAATCAATCTTCGAAACAATTTGAATTACTTAATTAGTTAATTTAGATTCCAAATTCTATACATCAAAGACAAAACAAATTAAACACACCATAAGCTTAAATTACAATAAAATTACCCAAGGAACCTTCGCGAATTATAAAAGAAATGCCAAGAAGAAAACTTCATTGGATTTCAAGTGAATTTTTCAGCTTATGCATTCAGCCTTTTTGTAAAATCTCAATCAAGAAACAAGAAAATCCAATGAAGCTAATCAAATAAACAAGTAACAAAATAATGAAAATAAAACACTAACCTCATTCAATTAAGCAAACCCAGTTAGAAAATTGAAGGGATTGAATTGATTTTGAGAGCAGAAATGATCGAAGTTCAGGGTTGTTAGAGAGAGAAAGTAGGATAGAGAAAGTGATTAGGGCATGTTTGGAAGGGTCTCCTTCTCAAGTCATAGATGAGTCAAAAGGCACGTGCGGAAATTTTACAAGTGTGCGGGAATCCCTGACAACTGACTATTGGCAAAATTTTGTGACGATCAACTTGTGTTTTTGTGTTGTGTACGAGGAGAAAGCTTTTGGCTTTGGTTGGCTTTCCACTCATTATGGCAGTTTGTTACCAACTACCAAACAGGACTTGTCCCGAACGACAACTAATTCCATGTTTGGGTGGTTCTCATAATTTTATTTTTTTCTCAAATTCATTTTTAATCATACATTTCATAGTATTCATAATATTTATCAACTTTCAAACCACATAATTCACCAACTATAATCAAAATTTGTTAAAAATTAAGTTTTATTCAAACCAAATGGAGACTAAATATAATATTCTGAAAATCAAACCAATCGATCAACTCATTTACTGATTTGAAAATATATTTGATTATAATTGAAAAACTGTTCTTAGAAAGCTGAGCAAAGCAATTAAAGATGTTTTTAACAATTCAATCTTAAAATCTATCGATTCAATTTTCATTGAAGCTTCACTTTTTGAATTAATGTCCAAGTCAATTTTGTAACCCGCTTACACTAAAAAGCAATTTTTAGAAGGCGAGGTGTATTTACACTATATTCTTCTATAAAAGCAACACATTTTAATTGAATGAGAGGCGTTTAATCATTATTCGTTGTCACAATCATATTTCCTAGCTTTTTTCATCGCATAGTAACGACGACTTCAGTCCAAAACTTTCTTTAAAGAGTAAACACACTTATTTGTCCCTTGTATCTATAAATTAGCAAAAAATGACAACGTTTATATAAGTGGGATGGAATGTTTTTTCATCATTTTACCGGTGACATAATTATTAGGCAAAATATGATGTGTAAATTTAAATATTTGTTGGTAACATTATCGCCTGTAATAGATTATATATTTATTTTTGAAGAAATTGCACTCACACCTATGATCTTGCCACGTCACTAGTACTTTAGACCCTGCCGTTCTACCACCTTACCGAGAGACAAGATATCTTCTGCCCACTATGGGCAGGATATCTATCATGTACAAACA